CAAATTATAATATTTATAATACCCGTTTGCACACAGAACACATCCATCAATTGTCTTATTTAAACAATTTGTTAATTCATCTTGTGGATTACAATATTTAGTAACATTATTTGGTGTTCTGTAATACGTTTCATTACATGTTATACAACTTCCTTCATTATAACACGTCAAACAAGACTCGTCACATTTTTCACATTGTTTACCATCAGGTGATCGCATATATCCATCTTTACATACAATACACCCGTCATGCGTTGACATCAATATTTCACAAACACCAATTAAATCATTTATTTGTATACAAATCCCGTTTTTGGAGTATGAGTATTTGTCACATTTGGTGCAATACGTCAAATTATAACAAGACGTGCATGGATATTCACATTTTATGCATTTCATGTTTGAGATATAAAACCCATCTGAACATCTATGACATCCCGCTGGACTTCTATCAATACAATTATCATTAAATTCAGTATTTTTATATATTAAATGTAAACTTGCGATTGTCTTATTTTGAACATTTTCCAATTCACAGTTGTCATTAACAAGTAAATATGAAGTATTACATTGTATACAAGAGTCCTTTACAACACTAATATAATCACAGTTTTCGTATTTCCCTTCTTTTTTAACACAACCATGAACGTTTTTATAATAATTATCTTCGCAAGTATGACATTGATTATTTTTAAACTCTTGGCATTCAATTGAATTGGAAGGTAAACAATTTTCATCAACTAACAGTGTGTTTTTACAAGATAAACATCTTTCTTTGTTTTGTTTTAAACAATTTTCTTTGTTTGTTACACAGATTCCATTTTCGATGTGATAGTTCGACAAACATAAAACACAATTACTCGCTTCCATTACCAAACAATTTTCATCTTTAAAACATGTTGAACTCAAGTCTAAAACAAAATTAAATTCACATGAAAAATCATACAACGTTTCAAATATATTTTGACATATTCTCGAGTTTGTACAACTCTGAGTTTGTCCTTTTCTATCTACTGTTGTGTAGTAATTGTCATCGGCTAAATAACAAAACTCGTTTTGAGTGTATTTACAATTTTGAACGGGAAGTCCCAACTCGGTAGTATTAGAATAAATAAGACAAGATGTTATTTCATTTTGAGTAAATTGGTATTTACATTCAGACTTTATAGAACAATTTCCATTTGTTGTCATGACCATATTAAGACACATATCACAACTTTTTATCGAATAAGCCAAACAATTCCCGTCTCTTTCAACACATTTATTGTTGTTTAAAGTGTTATTTTCATTACACAAATAACAAGAGGAATTTACTTGAGCAAGACAACCTTTGAGATTGTCTTCCTTTGTTCTATTTTCAACATTAAAATGAGTTGTTTTTGAATACGCCAAAACACATAAATTATTTTCAACTACATAAGGAGAAAAGCATTTAATGCAAATTTGATTTCCATTGTTATATGCACATGTTTGACAGTTGCTTATCTTTTTATAACACTCTATACACGTTTTATAATCAATTTTGACTTTACCTTCTTCACAAAAAGCACATTCATTGACAATTGTAACTAAGTCGTTGGAACACATTAAACACTCTTTCTGTGTTGTTGAACACTTTTCGCAATTTGTGATATTTGAACACAAATTGCACGTATTGTTCTCTAAATAATAACCATTTATACACTCAACACAGACTTTTAAAGATTCCACTTCATTCGTATCACACGTTAAACAATTACCATTGGAAGAGCACTGTACACATTCTTTAATGACATTGTGTGCAATTTCCTTAAATCCTGAAATACAACTCGTACATACACCGGTTTCTTTAATACATTTATCACATTTTTCGGGACATTTAGAACACGTTGAATTTGTTGAAACTGAATAAGTACCTTCTTTGCATATTATACATTTACCGTCTGTTGTGAGTTCATATCCAGCTTTACATAAAATACACTTACCAGTCGTTTTAACACAAGAAAAACATGAACTATCACATTGAATACAACTGACTTGTCCTGATACATTTTGAAAGGTCATATCTGCACACGTTTCACATTTTGAATCAACTGCATATGTTCCTGGAGAACAAAAAAGACAATTCCCATTTAAATTTAACCACATTCCATATTTACATTCTAAACAGTTTCCATTTGTTTTCTCGCATTTTTCACAACTTGAACCACACTCATAACATTTTGATGAATTAATTAATGAATATGTATGTTCTTCACATGGAATACATTCAGAAGAAGCCGAATTTGAATAAGTGCCGGCCGGACAATATTCACAGGTGTTGGTTGTTTGGTTTGCCATTGTCCCCGCTTCACATGAAACACATTTACTCGACTGAATGATTTGTCCACTTTTACATGACGTACAATGACCTGTTATTGCATAACATGTAATACATGAAATATCACAATCGTAACATATCGTCGATCCGGAATTTGAAGTGTATTTTCCTTCTCCACATATTGTACATGTAGTTTCTCCTTTTGTTGATGAAAATGTACCAATTGGACAATCAACACAACGATTACTTGCTTTGTTGTGGTAAGTTCCTTCTTGGCATATTACACAGTTTCCTTCTTGAAGAATTTGTCCTTCATTACACAAAGTGCATTTACCATTAATTTTGTCGCAATTTAAACAAGTGGAATTACAAGGTGAACACTGTGTACTATTCTCAAAAGAGTAATAACCTTCTTTACAAGATACACATGAACTGCCACTGAAATAAGTCCCTGCTAAACAATGAATACACTCCCCACTTTCAAGATAACTTCCGGTATAACATGAAGTGCATTTTCCATTTGTTTGATCACACAACTTACATTCATTACGACATGGTATACATTGAGATGAACCCATTACAGAATATGTTAGTGATGGACATTTAGAACATAAATATTTACCTCCCGTTGAATAATAACCAGCTTCACATTGTTCACATTCGGCGGGTGTCAACATACTAACAATATATTTATATCCTGGCTGGCACGAAGTGCACTCACCCGTTTGTGCATCACAATTTGCACACGCTTCATTTGTACATTGTGTGCACGTCCCCGAACCCCCAACAGAATAAGTACCCTCTGGACATGGTGTACAACTGGATTTATTTTCTCCGTAAGAATAAGTGCCACTTGGACAAGGCAAACAATCGGTTACCAGTGTTGTTGTTGAGTAGTAACCGTCTTGACATGGAGTACATTCAATCGCATTATAATCAGAATGTGTACCTGGAAGACACGGATACATTAATATACCATCTGGGCAATAATAGCCACGCAAACACCCTTTACAAATTCTATCTTCAAAGTATTGACCCAGTTCACACCCATTCACTAACTCCAAATTAACACAAAAAAACAACAAAAATAAACCCAATTGTAAACCTCGAGGCATATAAATCCATTTTATAGTTTAGTCTCTTTATATTCTAAATATTTTTTTATTCATTAAAAAAAATCCATTTGTCACTTTTTAAAATTTTTTAAAAAAAAGTATTTAATTATAATATTTTAACTATTAAATTTTAAATAAATACTTCATGTAAAAATAATGGATTTTTCAAATGTTAATATAAAAAATTTCAAATCACACTACAATAATACACATAAAATGTCCAATAAAAAGGTTATCGGGTTATAATGGATTCTTATCAATATGTTCATTCAAATAATATAAGTTAGAGATTCAGAAAATTTGAGATGTTTATTTATATTTAATAAATATTATTAGATTATTATAAATAATAATTATATTAGATTTATCATAAATATTTATTTATTTATAATTTAAGATGCCAAACTAACTAAAAAATGTAATGAAATCGATTATTCATTATCTGAAGGATCAGATTCTTCGTTTTCTGGGTGTTCACTTCTGAGTTTTTCTTCAAATTCCATTTTTTCGCGCTCTTCTCTTTGTTGTCTTATTGGTCTTTCTTTTAGAGCTACTCGAGCTAGTTCTTCAAAGACTTTATCCACGTTAATATTCTCCTTGGCGGAGCATTCAATATATATTTGAGCACCTATTTTCTTTGCCAAATCTTCTGCTTCTGTCTTACTTATAAGTAAAGTAGTTTGTTTTTAGCTTTTCTTAATTCGCATTTCGTCCCAACTAAAATTAACATTTTTTCGTGATTATATTTGTCAATTTTGGGCTTCCATTTCTTTTCAACACTTTCAAACGACTCTTTTGAGTCAATTGCAAAACAAATTGCCACGGCATCCGCCTGTGAAAAATGAGTCTTATTGAAAAAGTCGTAGTCATCAGATCCTGCACTACCTTGATAATAGACTTTGACTGTTTGAGAGTCGATCGTTTCGTCTTTGTGGTAATCGTCATGGCAAGTTGGAATGTAATCAGTTGGAAATTCAGAAGATGAATAAAGAGTTAAAAGACATGTTTTGCCACAACCGTGGTCCCCAGCAATTACACATATTAAAAAGTCCATTTCAAATATTATATTAGTATTAAGTTTTCAATAAATTATGTTTGTATTTTAAACACTACACACTTTAAATATAATTACACACTGACAATAATTAACAAAATGTATTTATTTATAATTTTTTATAGTTTATTAAAAGTGATGACACAAGAAGAATATATAATCGAATTATGAGTTGTCTGATTAAAAAAGGAATAATTGTTAATATTGTAGAAATAGTAAAATGAGTTGGAATGCATTGCTTTTTAGTATTTCAAAAGTATTGGCAAAAAAATCTCAATTAAGCGCACTAATCCAGGTCTATGAAAAAGATACATCAACAAAAAGCATGGTTCTATTTAAGTTTAAGTTGATTATTATCACAAAGCATGTAAATATTTTAAAGTTGGGTAAAAAATAAGACCACATTCACAAAAGACAGGATAGTATCATTGCTAATAAAAAACCATTAATACCCAGTAATATTTTTATTTAAATTTACTATTTGACATTTGCAAAGAAATGATATTTATCAATCGTTTCATTTGCTTTTCAAAACGATCATTTTCATTCATGAAGAAATGTCACACCACAAAGGTGACATTATTGTGATTTACAATTGAATATTATCTGCTGGGGTTTTTAATATTACTTGGAGATTCGCCAGAAGAGGAATTACATTTTATACGTTTATTGCATTCCTTTTTTGAATGTGTAATATAGTTAACCCTTCGAGGACTGAAAAATTTTTATTTTTTTCTTTTTTTTACAGAAAAAAATTTCAAAAAATAATTTCACTTTTCCAAAAAAATGAAAATAATGGCGACTTTTCATGAACAATTTAGAATGATTTTTGACTTATTTGATAAAATAGTTCAACTCAAATTCAAACTTTTGAATTATTTATAAAACATTTCATCATTCATAAACTCAAATTAATTGGGTTTTGTTAAAGATTTGTCCTTCAATCAATACAATATACAATTTAACAAATTAATATTAGTAATAAAAATAATACGAAAATAAACTGTTTTCATAAACAAATAAAATTGTTAACAAAATCGATTAAAGAATACTATCAGATATTCAAGTTTTTCAAAAACAAAATAAAAAACACTTAAAACAAGTGCAACAATTTGGGTTCAATATAACCAATAAGATTGGTTCAAACCAAAATAAAATAAGAACATGACAAAAATATTGTTGTTGAAA